TTCGACCGGGAAGGGAGACGACGCCGTTTACGACCGAGGGCCTCGCTGGGCAGTCTGTGTGGCCGGCTTGGAAGGGGCCGCAGCAGTTGGGACACTGGGGCCTGGCCATGCAAGGTCCCGTTTCGTGTGAGTCGGAAGGTCTTCCGCAGTTGCTGCAAGTCGGTCGTCGTCCGCAGAACCGGTTGGCGTGGTAGCCCTGGCAGCCGGGGTCATGTCGGATGAGCGTCCTTCGTTTTTTGATGGGCAGAGATCTGCCGCTTTGGTTGAAGAGCCTGAAGGGCGTGACCTCTGATGTGAATGATATGAGCCAAGATATTTCGTTCGTGACTGGGTTGGGCCCAAGGCGGGACGGTCGAGCAAGGACAGGCTTCTGTCCTGTCTGTGCGAAGACCTCATCTTCAACGAGTGTGGCTGGGTCCAGGACGTCCCCGCCAATGCTGTGTAGTTTTGTTGGGCATCGCGGCACAACGTATGTGTGCCACTTGATAGGCGTCTCGACTTGGTGGGCGCCGAGGCATTCCGCCAGCTTTGCCTTACTTGTAAGTAGTCTTTCCTGTATTTGCTTGTTTCGCGGCTTCAGAGAGTAACCTGTGCTGATATGGTAGACGTGGGGAAGGTCCGCTAGCCCCAGGCCAACGGCCTTACAGACGATCTGTCGTACGGCGAACGGTGCGATCTTCCGAGCGGCCGCTAAGCTTTCTTCCGGGACGCGGGCAAAGATGCGGAGGTCCTCCTTCGGCTGCGCCTGCGGCTGATCCTCGGCGGGGAGTGTGGCCTTCGGGCGGGCAGAGCTCTGGCAGCTCTGGCCGCTCCGGGTCGCCGCAGTGGTGTTGCCCGCCATCGGTGCGACGACAGCCGCCCAACTCCGGGCCGCTATTGGGCTTGTCTCGTGATTGATCAGTCTCTTGAGGGTTTGAATGACATAGGCAGTGGCTTCTTTCGCGATCTGCTTTCTAGAACCGTCAAAGCTGGCGACAACGCTGTCGACGGACCGTGCAATGGTCAGAAAGACGTCTTTCCGTGCCTCGTACTGTCTAGCTTCTTCTGCAAGGGCTGTCAAGACGGACCCTGTGGCAGATCCGCTCGGAGCAGATGCGGTAGAGGCTGCGGGCCCCTCGGCCGAGGTAGGGGCGTCGGTGGTGGCATCAAGCTGGCTTCCCGTTAGGCTGGGCCGGGTCGGCTGTGCCTCGGCGTCGCGGCGTCGCTTAGCTCTTGAGGTGGGGTTCGGCTCCGGAGGTGTCCCGGAGCCTGGTTCGGGGTCGGCTTGGTCGGCCGACATCAGTCCGGTGCCCGACGGCGGCTGTGAGGCCATCGCGGATGCGGGCTCCGGCAAGGGGAGGTGAAGAGTTTTCGGCTGTTAGTAATTTGGTGGTAGGCTCACTCATTCACTAACAGCAGATGCCAAGAAAAATTAGGCGAGAGGGAAGTTGACCAAAGTGGCAATGGTGAAGAGAGCGGTAGAGAACTTCATTGTGAGAGTTGGTGGATGTCCTGTAAAAGATTGATTTGGGTAGATGAAATGGCTGAAGGAGCGAATCTAGTAGAGAAAGAAGAGATAGTAGTCTGAATCTTCGGTGTCTGGAGATGTCTTCCGATCTGAACAGTTGCGCCGGTGAAATCGAGACCTTTTATAGAGATTGAGAACTCATGATGGAACCAATATTAATCCTACAACCGTGGGCAATGTGTTTAAGTTCGATTGCATCCTTGGCGTTGCAGCTTACAGTGGCCAGAACATTGTTCGACATTCTGGGCCAAATTCTCCCAATATTGAACATGAAGTTATTCGGAGTAGTCGGAGGACTCCGTTGAGCCTAGCAGTTGACATGAGTCTACGGAGCTTTAGGTTCCCGAATAAGAACAAGACCCATTCAACGTAACGGATCCGCCTAACGCCTAAGTTGAGGCTATGAAACTTTAATCCCCCCACGGACACAGCGGACACGGTGACTTTCAGAAGCGAAGTAATTTCGCAAATCTTTTAGTGTAAAGTCAGAGTGATGGAGAATCGTGACAAACGTGCACGAGTCTAGTCTCGATAGAGCTTCGTTAAGGCAAGCAAATGGAATAGACTCCCTAAAGCTGGTCGAGTTCTAAGTTCTTGGCAATCCGACTTCTAGTTTATTGGCTCTGTTTTAAATGAGGACTATGTCAGACTTTACAAGAGCCTAGCACGTGGACGAGTCCTTCGATTTAAACCTTCGTATCTTATTCTTGATGGAAATGGTTTCCACTTTCGGAATTCTTTACCAAATAGGCACCCAGAGGCAGAGGCTGGAAGCTCTTCAGCAGTCCATTTCTTAATAGAAGCCATCTTAAACTTCACGACACCCTTGATTAGATTGACACCGGCCAACTAGTTCATTTTTGTCACTCGATCCTAAGCGAATCCGAAGTGCTGACAACCAGCTAAGTTTCTCGGTTTTAGAAGGCTAAATCGACAGACAAGAAAACTGGGGGTAAAGCGAGGAGGGCGAACCTACTTTACGATTCTCTGGGGGGTAAATGTTGCTCGGCCGAAAGGCTCCATGTCTTGAGACTAAGTCCGGTGCAATGCGTTGACAGGTCGCGCAAACCTGGCAGGCTGGCCCAACTCTAATTAGTAGCTGAAAGCGCTTCCTTGTCCTAGGAGTGGTGAGCTGCGCCGCATTATCATAATGTGGGGATATGAGGGCAGAAAAAGGCAATTAGAAGGCGGTGGTAAAGTCCGTTTACACCGGCCGTTCCTGATGACGCCTGCCGGAGGAATTGTTGGCTACGCCCATCAACCTCCTCCTTCTACGTCTCATACATACGCAGTTCAATATATGATTATTGGACTTCGTGCCGGCCGAACGGCCTGCCTTGTTGACACGTATACCAGCGGTATCTAACATAGGTTCCTGCTTCAGTAGTTGTGAATGGATAGCCATTGAACACTCAATAATGGGTATCGGGAATCCTTCCTCGATCGCCCCTTGAAACCCCCAAAGCGGGTGCCTTGTGGTGAACATCCCCCTGAATAATTGATGCGGACATGGCCTCGATGATATTAAAGCAACTAGAGGATCAACTTCATGGCTCCAGTCCAGATGGATGTTGAGGGGCGACGACCAAATGTTCCCAAACTGGCGACTATGACGGCAGCCAATGCTTGCTTTGGCGGCAAGCTACCACTACCAGGAGCCTGATACAGTCTTTTCTTCTACCTAAGTGCCCTACTTAGATGGTGATCAGTCTGGGGTTCATCAAGGTACACCCATATCCGGTGTCTTCAAGCAGAAGAACAATCGTGAGGTCAAGTATCAGTGCCTCATAATCTTGTCTATCTCCATCACGATTTAATAGACAATACAGGTCTACAGCTTCAGGGTAAGTGGACCTGGAACTGTGCCCGATTCAAGAGCCTTCCTCCACGGTCATTCAATCCGACTTTCGTCGGCTTAGTGTGAGTGGTTCATGTTGTTTCAGGCTCATTGCCCAAGCTGCCAACGATAAACAAGAAATTCAGGCACATCGTCGTCCCGAGTGTCTTCGATAACCATCACTCCGTCTCGGTACCGAATCCAGCTACAATTTCGCCTTCAAATCCTGCAGGCTGTATGTTAGCGAAAGTTTTGGTCTGTCCATGAATTTCCACGAGAATGGCTACCCCTAAGGGATTCCACCAAAGCCTCCAACTCAAACACCAGCCTCGCACCTTGCTGGTCCCATGGCTTGATATTGGGAAAATCCTGGTTTACAAAGATTCCCATTCTTTCATTCCCCTATCCTTACATTGAACGCTTTGCCAACCTTTCCTTCATCTACGATTATCCACCATGTCAACTTTACGAACGCACTCCACCAAGCCCATCGTTGGGCAGACGGTGGTCTCCTAACCCTCAATCGAAGATCCTTCCAACACCTCCACCCGACGGACCGAGACCGAAGAAGTACCCATAGCCACCGATGGCCTCCACCGCCGCCTTAGCAACCGCCAGGTCCAACTCGTCGCCATCGGGGGCTCCATAGGCACGGCCGTTTTCGTCAGCAGGGGCGGCGCCCTTCAGCGTTCCGGTCCGGGCAGCCTTCATCTGGCGTTTGTCATCTACACGATCATTCTCTCGCTGTGCAATAACTGCATGGCCTAGATGTCTGTTTACATGCCCATCAGCGGCGGTTTCGTCAGACTTGCGAGAAAATGGCCGTTCGAGATTGTGGCTTTGACGCTGGTGGTTTCATACTGGAATGACAGGATTCCAGTCTATGCAATTTGTGTTGGATGCATTATACTCTATGGGTAAGTTTTCTCAGGGCTCTTTGTAGTCCTTCTTTGTGTCAAAAAGAGCTCAGGGATGTGGACCAAAATTAACGTATTGCTCAGCTTCATCAACGTATTTGCCGTCGGTGTTTACGGAGAGGCTGAATTTTACCTTTCCAGCGGCAAAGTCATCCTCCTCGCAATGCTCCTCGCTTTCACTCTAATCACTATGGCGGGAGGTAATCCCCAGCACGACGCCTACGGCTTGCGAGACTGGTACGCCGGTTACTTCGCCGAGTACATCAGTACTGGCCCCCTCGGGAAATCCGAAGGCTTCCTGTCCGCCCTTTGGACTGCATCCTTCACCTGCGTCGGACCCGAATACGTCTCAATGATGGCCGCTGAAGCCAAACATCCCCGTATTTACGTCAAGACGGCCTTCAAAACAGTCTACTGGCGTATCTGAATCTTTTTTTGTCGGGGGTGCCCTGACCGCTGGGATCGTCGTCAGTCATAAGGACCCGACTCTCGTTGCAATATACACCGGCAAAGGAGGCTCCACGGGCAGCGCGGCTGCATGGCCTTATATCATCGCGATGGGTAACCTCGGCATCAGTATCCTGCCTCACGTTGTTACATTCTTCTTGGCTACCACTGTTTTCTCGGCCGGCAGCGCCTATACTTACTGTTCTATAAGAACGCTCTATGGTCTGGTACTCGAAGGGAGGGCCCCGCGCTTCCTGACCAAGACGTCGAAGAAGGGCGCCCCGATTTACTGCCTTGCCGTGGTCATGATTTTCCCTCTCTTCTCGTTGCTGCAGCTCTTGAGCTTGTCGGCAAGGGTACTCGACTGGCTGATTTCGCTGACGACCGCTGCAACTGTTATTGACTACATTGTCATCTGCGTCACATATATCTGCTTTCACAGGGCCTGCAAGTCGCAAAACTTTGATCGTTCTCGTCTCCCCTACATCGGTCGATTCCAGCCGTATAGTGCGTACATTGGCCTGGTCTGGATGAAATGTGTCGTCATTTGCTACGGCTACCGGTCACTCAGCCCGTCTGACCCAGCTTCGATTTTCATACACTACACAATGGTGCCTCTGGCATCTCTCTTGTTCTGTTCCTGGAAGTACTACAAGAGCACAAAAACTCTGGGGCCGGACGGGGTCGACCTCGTGTGGGATGCCCCGCGGATAACCGCATACGAGGAGCTGCTGAGCGAAGTTGATCCTCCCGTTGGATTCCTACAAGATATAGCCACCCACTTCTCGGTCAAGAGGCTTGTGAAAAAAAAAGTGACGTCACCGTCGGGGTGTGAAGCAGACCAGCTCTTGACAATCAAGCACACCGCCTCACGCGGCCCAACTACATTAGGAGGGTATACCACAGCCCTCCCGCAACAGCACCAGCGCCTACAAGCCACGGCGCAAAACGAGCACCGGCTTGAAGGATCACTCGTTTCTGCTTGTCAAAGATCTTGCTTCTGAGCGCCGCAGCTTCGTTCCCATGTGGAAACGGTATGTCCGGCACAGGCACGTCGAGGAACTCGCACAAGGGACCCCAGCCCTCGCCGAGTTTGTAGACAAGCAACCTCTCCTTGGGGACCGTCGACATGACGTACTTGTGGTGGCGCTCATAGACCTCGCCGAGCTTCGACTCCAAATCGGGAACGTCGCTTGCTCCCACCCAACCCAGCATCATCTTCTGAATATTCCCCGCGCTGTCGGCGCCCATCATGGGCTCGACGTAGTCCCGGATGAAACACGTCAGGGGCCCAAAGATGCCTGAAATCACCTCCTTCATCGATACCCGCCACTTTTCATAATCCCGGATGACGAGAACGACCTTCGCTTCAGGGTAGGCATCGATGAGCGATGGTGTGAAAGGGGCCGCGATATCGGTGATGCCCTCGCAGGGTCCAAAGATGTGGTCCCAGTCGTCGGTGGTCATGCCCTTGCCTGTGTATGAAGGCAAGGTCGGGAACAGGGCGTCGGAAGCCCGGCCGAAAAAGCGCCAGTCATCGGGGCTGTCGATGGCGTTGAGGCCGTGGTAGACGTCCTTGTAACCCAGCTCGGTGAGGGCGAGCATCATGGAGTAGGACCCCGTACGAGGGAGGCCGACGCTAAGGACTTTGGTGGGGCGAGAGGTAGCCATTGTGGCGGGATGATTCGGTGCCGATGCCGCGAAGCTGGTTCACGATCTGTCTACACACAGTACCGGTCTCTTCTCGCATAGAAGTGTGCTGGTTCTGGCAAATATTAAGGGCACTGGGAGGTTAGTCGATCATCTTAGTGAGGTTCGACCAAAAAAACATGTCAGCACGAGCGATATCTGAAAGCTGCCTGGCCCACATCTTCGCCCTTGTTGATCTAACTGCTTCGCGAATTAGACGACACGGTGCCCCCCGCTAGCTCAATTAACCGATTCTGCCGTTTACGTCCCTGACCGGGACGAGGGAAACCCGCTAGGCAACCAATCTAGGGTACCTGGAGCGCTGTCATCGTTGAATCGATAAATCGACCTCGAAGATGAAGATATGATTACCAAAGATGGGCAATGCTTCCTGGAATCCAGGACGTGGTCTTGGCAGCACCAAGTCTCTTCCAGTATTTTCCGTCCAAAACAGCTCATTGACACTGAGATCCACTGTTTGGCTGTTCGAATCCTCGACAGAGGTATTCCTCTCAATGATGTACACGCTAATCCTAGCATCTCATCACTCCTTCTTCTCATCCTCTCCCTCGCCAGCCAGCGCCTGCACAACAGCTTGCAACGCAGCCCGGTCCGCGCCCCTGATCTTGTCGACTCGACCATCCTCAGTGAACACAACCGACTGACGAGGCGTCACCCCCTTGGCAGCCACACCCGTAGGCTTCCCCTTCTGGAAAAACATGAACGTCGGCATGGCAGTGACGCCGTAGCGGCCAGCGACGTTGTTGACGTGGTCGACGTTGACCTTGGCGAACGCGAGCTTTCCCTCCGCGGCGTGCTTGTCGGCCAGACCGGAGAAGACGGGTGCGATGGCGCGGCACGGTGGGCACCAGTCGGCGTAGAAGTCGACGACGACGTTGGAGGTGGAGGCGAGGAGGGCGTCTAGCTCGCCGGCGCTGGCGACTTTGTAGACTTTGCCTGATGTCTCGGGGATGGGCGAGCGGTCTGCGAATAATGTCTTTGGAGAGTTGACTAGTTAGCAGCGTGGGACTCACATTTGAGGTGTCGTTTAGGGAGGACAGCCATGGACATCTCATGAAGAGGGGTGAGGCAGCGGCGCCGTCGGGAGACTGATTGTGGGGTACGTACTTTTGCGAGCATGTAAATGGCAAAAGCCAGAAACATCCATGAGAGCGTGTCCATCTTGTCGCTCAATGCAATGGACTTTTAGGATGAGAGCAACCGTTGCGTGGCTTTCGCGCGGATATCGAATGTTGAAGAGCACAAGGAGAAGGCTCAGTTGAACCGACCTTGAGCTGTGGGAGTGATCCGGGCTTTATCCGGCGGGGCTTTGTCAGCAGCGACCCATGCGCCGATAGGCTGTAGGTATAGGTGGTGCCCAACGTCAGTTCCAAGTACTGGTACCCAGGCGTGCCAGGTACCCTAGAATAGAAGATACAGTCTAGTACGCTCTATTGAAGCAACACCAAAATCCAGATAGACCAAACATCAACTCCGAAACCTGATGATTGCTTCGTCCAGGTATAGATATCTCGAGATGTATCTTTCTCTCGGAACCATCATGTTTCATTCGATAAGGCAACTTCATTACTGAAAATAATTGGTGCATATTTGGGTCCAAGGCAAACGTCGTCCGCGACGCATAAAATCACCACATCCCAATGCGCACCTTCCAAGATACCAATGCCTCCAAGCAGCGGTTTACCTCCACTGCATCAAGCATGGCAGTGCATATATACATATATTTAAACAGTTGCGCCAACTTCATAATATGTACGGGCATCACCTCCCCGAGCAGAAGCTCTGTTTCGACCTAGTCGTGCCATCTAGCATCCTCCGCAGAAGCAGCGGTCGTCACTAAATCACCCAATATTAGCATCCTCTGTTCTCTCATCTAAAAAACAACAACAAGATATTTCTTTATTCTCTCTTTCTTCGTGACATACCCAAAAGCAGAAAGTCCGCAAAACGGCTTCGTGCATGGTCCTCCGCTGCAAAAGCTGGTGCAGTCGCTATCCTTGCCGCACGTAGGCGCAACGATGGCCTGAGGCGCCGCGAGAGCGAGGGCGGAGAGAGAGAGGAGGCTGATGATGGAGAACTGCATTCTGGCGTGTGGCTACGAGTTGAGTGGAAGAGAAGGGCTTCGGAAGCGGAAGGCGTTTACGGATGGTTGTAAGTGGGCGGAGTGAGTGTAAAGCTTGAGTTGATATCCCGACAGAGACCCAGGGTGGGGAGGTAGACTTGCTCTTTTATATCTTCTTTACAGATCCGGATGGATTTATACACGCTAATGTACGCGCCAATGCTCTGCATACATCGCGGACTTTACACAACCTATCCGAGTAGAAATTAGTTCCCGCGAGTAAGTCTAATTTCTTAACGACGGTGTTCGTTTGATGCACACAATCAATGTGGTTCGTCTCTAGGCTTGGCAGCCCTATGCTGGAGAGAACTCAGCCTCAGAACTACTCTATCTGTAGAAGCTTGGTCTTGACTCGCTCTGGGGAGAGAAGGCATACCCCCTGCTGCTTGTGCCGTTATGCGTCTGTAATTCGGTGCACAGGGCCGTAGCAGTCCGCATTTCGATGTCTGTACATATCCGCCGGCCATATTTTAAGGTTTCTGCGACTAGAAATCGAAGGTGAAAGATTTGTGATTATGTGGGAAGCCGACGGGATTCTTCACCTGGTTCGGCTGGTTAGGATGAATGGCACCGCAGATCGTTCGGTAACATAGTCCTTAATCTCACATTCATTCCCTTTCACATTCGATCTTCTGTCAAAAGTTTGGATACACTGACGAGAATAGAGGCCTACGATAGGCCCTCGAGTCATGAAGCTTATGGAAATTACATTGCAGTAAGTATAAGAAGACTGAAGCGACATCGCACTCCCGATCCTTCTGTCCGAGAATTCACAAAGACAGCGATACCAGGCGCGATTAAAGTAAGTGTACTGTCTACACACGATAGATTGCTCTGCGAGACTATGTCGCCGACTGGAAGCAAGATTTTGGAGCCCCGGACCCCAAACCGGGGTTTCGGGACCGGAGATCCATCAAGGCTCCGGTCCTCCGACCCCGGGAAGTTCGCCACCCGGACGTAGACGAACAACACCCTAGAGCAAAGTTTAGGGAGCGACTGGTGGCCGAACGAATCGCGGAAATTTTACATTTGGCATACTTTCCTGCCCCAGAATGAAGTACCCATCTGATGGTGCTTTCTGAGGCCCGTGACTTCCCCCCTTCTACCTTTTCAAGAGGACGCGAAATAAAAGGCTAGGTGAAGAAAACGATTGGACCAGTGTTACCCTTGCTTGGTAGCGACTATCATCTCTTGGGAATGTGGGGCACGGCAAGTATCGATGAATATCTTATAAAGCACCAATTTCCATATGTTTTGATGGACACGGAAGCCGGGCTCCAATGGGACGAGGAAGGGACTCTAGGAGGAAATCAACCACTGCCGGGGACGTGCGGTGTCAGTCAATTACTACGTCAATGATCTGCCCTTCCGGATGAGGCAGTTGTAACCTCTCGTTGCGGCCGAAAAAACGGCCGGAAAGTTCAAGGACATCTAGGCTCGGCGGAGGGATTTACTTCCGGGAGCGGAGGGCCGGATGAGACTCCACATCACTGATGCCGTGATGCGTCCTTGACGAATTGTCGACGAGGTTGAAGTTACATGGGGTAGCATGATAAGGTTGGGCCAATATGTCGACGCCTGTTACGCAATACCCAACTCCATGGAGCGGGAAACACCTGCGCCGGGGACTTGAAGGGTTTGGGCAGGCTGATTCGGGTTTTGGATGGCTCGTTCTCTTCAGCGTATTGGATACAGCGGAGTCGGATACCGGATGGACCCTTGAGAAGTCTGCTGTCGATGACACATTGCTCGGCGAGACATCGCCGGTGACCGTTGTAACTTGTGCCATGGTTTCCACCGGTGTTGACCTGGGGATGGAATGGACCGTGGAGTCGTGCACTACCAGACGATGGGATGGGTGGGGATGTAACCTTTGGGCCGTGTGGGGTAAAGGGAAGTAACGGCCAGATACCTCTGGGAAGATATGGATAGATATCTGTGGTTACGTCCAGATATCAGATACAGGTCTCGTGGCCATGGAAGACTGGCAGGTTGGTTCCCCATGCGTGGACCAAATTCCAGCTTGGGATTCTGCAACCGAGCCACAGCGGGTGGCTTGATTGAGGATGGCCATAGTGAGAGGATCTGGCTCGGGAGATTCAGATCGAGTCGATTGCTGACACGCCTTCCGACCTGGACGCCTACAGAGAGATGAGCCTTGATTGCCATTAAGCTGACACTCTACCCGGATGCTGCTGTGCGACCCCGGAGACAGTCTGAAGTATGATCAAAGTTGCAAGTAAGGTAGGGCGGGAAACGTATGCGATGCAAGCATCCTTATCTGTGTAACGAACCCACGAGGAGGGAGACTGGAGTAGGAGACTGGAGCAACAGTCTATCAGTCCCGTCGTGTCACCGATGCAACTGGCCGGTTCCCAGGCCGTGGGCACGGT